AGATTCCCCCCTTTGAGCTTTGAATGCCCATAAAAGCGATATATAAATGTAAAGAATTATTATTATTATCTGACATATACTGTAAAAAATATCTGCAAATTAGCTGTTTGCTTATTTTGGGATTTATGTTTTTTTTTACACTATACTTTTTTTTGCTACATTATATTATTTCTTACACGTTATATGATTTCAAACTATTAAAATGTCAAAAAGTCCCTTTGTTAAACCGTAGAGTTGAATTTTCAACATCAAAAGTTGACAAAGCAGAGACCAACATCCCATAATGCAATACACAACCGAAATAAGTGGAACACAAAATACGGAAACTGTATTAACAGATATTTTTTTACAGTGTAGAAAACACAGGTAAACAACTTGTGTCACTTTACCATGTTATTGGCGTACAAAAGAGTTCTTGGAGCTGAGTATAATTATAGATAATAGACTACAGCTCTAAAGCTTTTTTTCTTTTCCAAAGTGTGAATGACATTTTTATAACCAACGGCATGTTAATTTATTCATTCATTCATTCATTAATTTTCCTTCGGCTTAGTCCCTTTATACATCAGGAGTCACCACAGCGGAATGAACCGCCAACTATTCCAGCATATGTTTTACACTATGGCCAATTTAGCTTACCCAATTCACCTATAGTGCATGGGTTTGGACTGTGGAGAAAACCGGAGCACCCAAAGGATATCCAAACCAACACTTGGAGAACATGCAAACAGAAATGCCACCGCCCCACCCGGGACTCCAACCAGCGACTTTTTTGCTGTGAGGTGACAGAGTTAACCACTGAGTCACCATGCTGCTCACAGCAGATTCTGAATAATAAAAAAGTGATTCCAGCTAAACTAAAAGTATAAGACTTCCCCAGAAAACACTGTGAAAAAACTTCCTTGCTCTGTATAACACCACTTATTTGAATATTTGAATAACAATTACTTTCAGAGAAGAGCTAATAATCTGTCTTTAACTGAATAGATGCGGTATACAAATATAAAACTTTGCATACTGCATTATGTCTCGTTCACACTAGCAAAGACTTTGTAGCTGCCTGTTGCTCTGGGTGGCGATCAGCTGCAAACGCAGGTCTGTGTAGGTCTACAGCATAGATAATACAAAAGGCCTCTACAGGAGCTGAGAGAGGATCACGTGAGCTCTACTGGTCGCACTTCATTTGCATAAAGTTGAAGAATTCTCAACTTTGTCTCGTCACTCGACACGCCCACCTGGTCGCCAACAATCGCTGTTACTCACATAGATGGAGGTCGCCAGAAGTCGCATAGTCTCTGTTGAAATGAACAGTCACTTGCGATTCGCTCATGGTGTGAATGAGGCTTTAGACCAGGGGTGCCCAAACTCGGTCCTAGAGGACCAGTGTCCAGAATATTTTAGTTCCAACGCCAATTAAACAAACCTAAACCAGCTAATCAAACTCTATGTATACTAGGTAGGTGTGTTAAATGAAGCTGGAGCTAAACTATGCAGGACACTGGCCCTTCAGAATTGAGTTTAGGCGCCCCTGCAATAGACTAACCAGCAATTGTTTTTTGGTTTCCTTCTGTTCTCCCCATCTGTAAGCTGCTTGGGATAAAACCTTGTGCCAAATAATTAAACAATGTAAATGTATTCACTCGTTCACTATTGAACAACAAGAAATTAATGATTGAAGAGCTTCTTAAATGATTTAGAAATACAGTTTAGCTTCTCCAAATATATTGATGTTGCGCATCGATAGATTTGCACTCAGTGTTTGGACTTTCAGCAGTGAAAATTAAACCACACTAAACTGAACTAAACTAAACTCTGAAAACTGGACTGACTGTTTTTTTTTTTATAAAGGAATAATAATTTATGCAGTCATGCACATTTTGACAGCTAATATAACAAAGATTTAATCCTTTGTAGAAGTTGCAGACACCTTTACCAAATGCTTTTGTGATGCAAAATTATTAATTTAAATTCCTTATGCCAATAAAGAAATTACTTTAGTAATTTAGACTAGGCAACTATAATAAAGAATATCCACTCTAAAATGTAAAAATAATGAAAGTGTAAAGCCTGCAGCTCAAAACTAATGTGGAAAATTATTGGTGTCATATTTAACAAACCGTTTACTGCTAATTTTTTGTAATTTTGCTCACATGGATTATTGAATATTAATCAAGTGATGTCATTACACTGCTGTGCCGTCAGCCAGTGCATTGCTGATCATCATTTCGAGGATCGATAGATCTGTCCTTAACAACTCGCGCAACGATCTCAGATCAGTTCATCCAAACATTTTAATCTGAAATGCGAACTTGTTTGAAGAACCAAATTAGCGAGAGATCAGTTATCAAGATTAAAAGATCCAGGATCTGCCAAATCATCTTAGATCATTTAAGCGAGACCCCAGCAGGCTGAGCACACTGTAAACATCTGAAATGTTGTTTTGGTCATTCTAAATCGCCTTAACCATCTCAGTATCAGTGTTATTATATTATTAATGAGTAGGGGTGTCACGATTTCGATTTTAAATCGAAATCGATCGAAATTTATGCTCAATTTCGATTATCGAATCAAAAAATAGAATCGTCGATGCTGCCACGCCCCCATGTCACGTCAGCTTGGCTTGCCAAGCAGGAAAAAAACAGGCTTGTTGAAGTGCTTGTTGAACTGCAAAAGCAGGAGACCCGTCGACAGAGCTTAAACCCTCTCCTCTTTCAATGAAGTCGCCGGTGTGTAAGCATTTTGGATTTCCAGTGAGTTATGTTGACAACGTTTGTGTTGTCGACAAAAAAAAACACAGTTTTGCAAGCTCTGCTATGTACGTATTACGTACGGTTCGTCCGATAGACAACACCGGCATCACGAACCTCCGCCCGCCCCCGTTGCAAATCCGCTCGCGAAAAGTACACACTCAGGCCCTGTTTACAGTGTCTTTGTTTTTAAATGGTATTTTAGAACGACAACGATTTGACATCCACAGTGGTGTGTAGCATTTCTGAGCAGCCCACCTTCCTCTCTACCTCTGAAAATGCACATCACGTGACCACACAGACACAGCCATGCGCTCCAGACAGCAGATCCAGGCAGTCAGAGGACTGCTTCAATCTTTCACTCACTTGTACTTAGTCATTTTAGCGAACACCTCAGATACTGTTGGCTGGTTCCTGTTGGTTGTGCGTCATTTTTACCGACGCCATTATAACGACACAGATCACTGCCTATTCACGAGTCCCGCAGAAAAAGTGATTGACAGGTGGTAATTATGTGTGTAACTTGCCTTTATTCATTTACTGTATGATTTGTTTATGGGTAAAACAAAGACCATACAGGTCAGGTAGTTTAAACGGTAGGCTACAAATAATTAATTCTTCATTAATTAATTAATTATTCATAATCAAAAATCGAATCGAATCATGCCTTTAGAATCGAAAATGTAATCGAATCGAGAATTTGAAGGATCGTGACACCCTTATTAATGAGCTCCAGAATCAACAGCGTCTGTGCTCCGCATTCCACGCCTTCAAACGCCACCACGCATTCAGTGCATGTCAGGATTGACTGTTAAGGTGCAAGTCATTTATTAAATGAAGAAAAGATTCAGCAGCTTCTCTTTTTGCAGCAAATTCAGTTTTTACTGTTGATATTTGGCGCCAGATATCCAGGAAGTGACGATTTTGTTCACTTTGACTCGTTGGACGGAAAAGCTGTTTTATTCAAACGTCTTTATGCGATAATCCGGCTTTGTGCATAAAGTTAATTCACATTTCTGGGTGGAAACATAGTTACTGTCCACTGGAGGTTTCAATTTGGTCACGGACGCATGCTTTGAGAGCCTTTTTGACTGACTGAATGAAATATGGTTTTCCACCAAGGCAACCCGGGGTGCTGAAATATAATTGGCTAAACTTTCACTGAGCGGGTTAAAAGAACCAAAACAAAGACAGATGTTCTGGCACGTAACGCACATTTTAAAAGCAGAATATCTGACTTTAGCATTGTTTTTCAGATAAACAAGAATGTTTACTTGGCATATTTCTTAAATATCTGCAAACATATTAACATTAACATATATTTTTATGCTTTAAAAGGAATCAAAGACGTACATACAGCACCTTTAAGCTGCTTTGACACAGCCTACATTGTAAAAGCGCTTTAGAAATAACGATGAATTGAATTTAACATTGATTAGGTGCGTTTGTGTCACCGAAACCATAACACACACACACGCACACCCAAAAATCGCCACAACCCATCATCTGTGCTTGAAAAAAGGGACCAACATATAACTTAAACAAGCTTATTTTTAATGGATCTGCAAAATCGTTTGAATTTCCAAAGAGAACGCTCCCCTCCCTGACACGTATCTGGACTAGAAGAGATACTTCTGTGAATTACAAACATGGCAAAACTTACAAAAAGACCCCAAAAATACCCAAAAGAAACCAGCATGCAGGAGAGAATGAGTAACTGAGTGAGGGGGAAACCAAAAAAAAAAAAAAACATTGAGGAAATTCATAAAACAAGTCATTCTGGAAAAAAATTGAAAACAAACTAAATTTAAAAATATTTATATAATGCCATTCTCTTCTGAGCAAACAGGTTGAATCCAGATGGTTCCACTCGGGTGTGTGTGGGGTCGATTTAGCGGGTTGAGAAGAGAGGTGTGTGTTTGTGTGTAACTGTTACAGTGGTGTTTAAATGTGTGTGTGTGTTTGGGGGGGAATGAGCACTAAGGCTCTACATTAAGGCACCGGACGAAAGAAATCAAATCATAGAACAAAAAAAACAACAAAAAAAAAAACAACCCAGCTAGAGAAGATCTCTCACACTAACACACACAACACTAATCCCAAAACACTGGACACAAGTCATACTGAACGCTACGCTCCAAGTCCACCCTCGGTCTTTATGTAGTGGTGAATGAGCTTTTAAATTCATTTCCTGCTTTCTTTAAACTTTAAAATAAGTACGAAGAACCGTGAAATGACTTTGTTTTACGTTTCTTTTTTTTTTGTTTGTTTGTTTGTTTCGTTTTCAGAAATAAAAATGATGTCAGTAAGCTGTCGTGAGTGTGAGAAACGTTAGAGATGTGTTTTACAGAGAATCCTATGAGAAGGACAGAACGGAAGAGTGTTAGACAGAAACGAGGGATGAGTGAATGAGAGAAAGAGAGAGAGAGAGAGAGAGAGAGAAAGAGAGGGATAGAGTAGAACAGATTGTGTGTGCGTGTGTGTGAGTAACTGTGAGTGTGTGTTCAACTGCAGCACTTGGTCTTCCAGCCTGTGACTCCTCCTCCAGTGCTGATGTCCACGTTTTCACTGTTAGGCTCTTTTACGGGTGTCTGCGAAGAAAAAACACAACAACAAAACCCGTCAGCCTTGCTTTTGTAAACATCACACTTTAAAGGGGACCTATTATGCCTCTTTTTACAAGATGTGAAATAAGTCACTGATGTCCCTAGTGTGTATGTGAAGTTTCAGCTTAAAATAGCACACAAATAATGTTGTATAACTCTTTGAAACTGCCCCTTTGAGGCTTTGATCCTAATTGTGCCGTTTAGATGATTGTCGCTTTAAATTCAAATGAGTTGTGCTCTTTTTAGAAGGGGGCGGAGTTATTAACCTAGCTGGATTTGTCTTAGGCCTTGTTTTCACTAATACGCTTTAGTTTTAAAACTGTAAAATCCACGTGATACTTGCGTTACAGAAAAGATCTTCATCCATACTATACCGCTGAAAACGTACATCACATGACTAAACACACTCTGGCATGCGCTGCAGCGTATGCAGAGGTCTGAGCCACAGGCAGTCAATGGGTGCTTTTATAGATATATACACTAGATATCGCTTAGGGACCCTGTGCATGTGTCAATAGCGCCGCCACAATAGTATAGTGCTCCTAAGACAAATGTCATTGAACCGCACTAGTCAAGACAGTGTTACTACGTGAAGATGCTAGACTTGAGCCATGTGTACGGGTGTAGTAACGAGCAAACAAAAAAAAAAACAAAGCACAAAGCCAGAACATTTCATAGGTAAGGTTAGAACTGTGCAATTAATCGAAAATCCGATTTCGATTTCGGCTTTAAACGATTATGAAAAAGCATTAATCTAGATAAATGATTATTGCATTATATACCGCCCCTTTCCAGCTGTTCACGTTTGTTGCTCTTAAAAGCGTGAAAGACCGCATGCTTATGTGTGTTTGTGGCAAGCACACACAGCCGGAAGCATGCGACCGGTCAGCATTCGGTCTCATTCGCACACTGAGACGAGCAGAGGAGCGCAGGCATCTAAAGTCATCTTAACGTGAGCGCTTTAATGATCAAATAGATGTCAAAATGCTGTGTTTAGTGATTATTCATATTAACCCTCATTTGTGTAATAAACAAATGGGTTGAGAATCAAGACACATGAAACAGAAACCAATAAAGAGACAGCTTTTATATCATATATCATTACAGTTTTTATCATTAATCAAACAAAACAAGAAAATCCCTCTCTGCTCTTGACTGAAGGACATTTGAAGCTAAAGTGTTTTTCTTACAGTAAAGATGCTTAAAGCAGTTTGTTTCATGTTTTTATTCTATTGTATTTATTTCTCTTTCCTTTGCAGGGTGGAAAATAACTGTATGTATACAGTTGAAGTCAGAATTATTATCCTGAATATTAGCAACCCTATTCCTGCCCAATTTCTGTTTAATGGAAAGAATTTTTTTCTTTTACTTATTTCTAAACATAATAGTTTTGATAACTCATTTCTAATTATTGATTTATTTTATCTTTGCTATGATGACAGTACATAATATTTGACTAAATATTTTTCAAAATACAAGCATTCAGATTAAAGTGACTTTCAAAGGCTTAATTAAAGTAATTAGGCAAGTCATTGTATAACAGTAGTTTCTTCTGCAGAGAATCAAAAAATATTTATATATGTATCTTAAGGGGGCTAATAATATTGACCTTATAATGGGTTTCAAAATATTTAAACCTGCTTTTATTCTAGCTAAAATAAAACAAATAAACCTATAAGAAAAAATATTATAGTAAATACTGTTAAAATTCCTTGCTCTGTTAAACATCATTTGGGAAGTATTTATTTAAAAAAAAAATTCTCAGGAGCGCTAATAATTTTGACTTCAACTGATAATTGTTTAAAATAATCGTGATTACAATTATGACCAAAATAATCGTGATTATGATTTTTCCCAAAATCGAGCAGCCCTAGGTAAGGTTTAGTTTTTACGTTTTTGTATGTTATGAACTTTTGTGCTAAACAGGTAACGTTATTGATGATACATTCACCATAAGGCAAAGCAGCACCAACTCACACTAAATACCAGGCTTATGCTAGTTTTGTTGAATAAAATCAGCAAACAATGCAAAAGAAATATGACAACGAGATGCTGCGCTGCCAGAAACTTGAATTATTGTCTGCTAGTGAAGGAGTCGTTCATAACGGAGATTCATTCACAAACGAAACGGTCCCTCCGTCAGTATGAGAAGTGAAAGCAGGAGAGGAGCTGTGTTTCAGGACACTGATTACATCAAATTTAACAGGGAGGGTGGATAGTACATTTCCATACACACAAACACAAGCTTTTTGTCAGGAATGCCTGTGTCGTCACTCATCCATTATTGTAGAAAAGTGATGTAAAAATATTAATTTCGTAATAAAAAAAATTTGCATACTGACCTCCGGGAAAACTCCTAATCATAGATATATGTATGTATGTTTATATCTCTGGCTTTGGATGGCCACAGTCCTCCACTGCAGCTTGGTCCCGCATTCATTTCAAAGGAGCGCTACCCTGTACTAACATGATGGCTCTATTGACGATTTCTTCCAATAGACAACAACAGGGTAGGCGACATCTAATGTATATATCTATGGGGTGCTTTGAGCACACCTTACCAGGTGAAAGCAGCGCAGGTCGGACAGTTCATCAAGGATATACCGCTGGACCTTATCTCACTATAGTTGTCCAATGTGATATTTAATAAATCTTTTGTTTATCTAACGACTCTTTGGTCTTTTGAATCTATTACTTGTTCTCAGGTAACGTGTTTTGGCTGAGCGCAAAGATAAGCTAATATATTAATTTATGTAACCATGTACATTGATTCTGCACATGTGACTGATTGCTACGTTGTATAAACTTATTGTATGTTATACTTTTATAATGGCCATTATTCATTATTAAAACTGATATTCAGCAAAAGAGACAGGGTGTGTTTCGTATTTTTCAATGATAATGAAAATAGGCAGTAATGTTATAGGCTCCATTTTGATATAAATATGCGTACAGTGAAGATGATGATATTATAAATATGTAGCTACACGACGCCTCAACATTTCTGGTGTCTGTTAATTAGCTAATTCCAAATGAAAATGGGCAGTTCCTTATATCATGTTTTTATTTTATTGTCAAGATAGTGAAACTGAAACAACGTAGCCTGCAGGGTGATTGAGGTTATATAGTAGCCTACACTGCCCCCTTTATAGATATACCCGGGAGTTTGTTTTCCATATCAAACTCGCAAAGTCTGAACCTGAGCAAAGGGTGCAAGACTGAACTTTGTGCACTTAATATTGAGGAAAAAAACTCATATCAGATAGGCGAATGTCTGCAGCCAGGCCTCAGTTTCCCCCCATCCACACTGACACAGAGCCGCAGCGTTTTAAAACGAAATCCACCTCTCCAGAGTTTTTAAAATGTCCTGTTTTCGGGGCTCAAAAACTCTGGGGTAGTGTGGACAGAAGGCGTAACTGTAGCAAAACGTATGCATTTTAAAACTAAAACATTATAGTGTAAACGGGGTCTAAGAGGGGGTGGTTTGCAGCACTAAACTCACACTGCAGGTTAAGTGAGTGCTGCTGTCCGGCTGATGCTCAAAACAGACGGAGTGATGATTTTATAAAGTGTTCATTCTGTTCAGGTGAATCAGCCTATTGACTTTCATTACAAACAAAATAACAACATCTAGATGCAAAGATTGACTTAGTGATATAGAGTCCCGAAGCAATTCCAGGTGAGGCCCTAGCATTGAAACTCAAAACACTCTCTTTGTCTAAAAATGTTTTTCTCTGCAGATTTGTAAATAAACTGCACCAATAAGTAAGCTTATTCATGAAGTGTGTTTATTTGATCTGGAACTGTTAATGAAAAAATGTTCTTGAAAATTTTAAGTTGCATCAGTACCCTAATGTGTCTCCTTTGTCCATTGTTCACACTTTAATCTTCATTAGTTAATGCATTTTAACCTAATTTGACCAAATAATGAACAATACTTGTACAGTTTTTAAAAATAGTTTTACATTTACTAATGCATTATTAAAATCCAAATTCATGCTTGTCAATATTAATAAATGCACCGTGAGTTAACATGAAATATTAATGAACAACTTTATTTCCATTAACTAAGGTTAACTAACATGAACAAATAATCTAATAAATGTATCATGTATTGTTTGGTTGTTTTAATAAATGCATTAACGAACATTAACTTACACAACCTTAGTCAAGTGTTTGTCCATTTGTGATCAAATTGATGAAAACTAAGCCGTATTCCCTCTTTAAGACGGCTTAAATAACTTTATTTTATTTCAATTTTTACTATGAAATTGAAATTTGGAATTAATAAAAATCAAAATCGCTAAGCGGATTTGGAATCGATAAAATTCTAAAGATACTTTACCCTACTCAGGGAATGATACTCATTAGTCCAGAAGAGCATTAACAGAGTTTAAGAGTTCGTTTTTTTAAAAGTCTGCATTTCATTACGTCTATACTGAAAAACAACACACCAGCATTTCCAAACCTAAACAGGGTCATTTTCAGTACGATCCATTTTCAAAGGTTGAATATGCTGAAGATGCCAGGTGTAAATGTAACAAAATTGTTCAATACAAAAAGGCATTTGTGTCAAGGGCACATCTAGAACTCACCTTTTTGAGAATGTCTTCTGCTAACGTGAGGAACGCCTTCTCGATGTTGATGTTGGCTTTTGCACTCGTCTCGAAGAAGCGAATCCCGTGTTCTTTTGCGATCTGAGAATCAAAAAGAACAGTTTATATTTTAGGGCGTTTGCAGGTCTTTAATGGTACGTACAAACCTTTTTATGAATACAACAACATCTCTATATATGCAATATATGAATACTTAGCACACAGTTTTAATTGGATATCTACAAATAATCAACAATCAAAACCAAATCTCTTTGTCAACCAACTAATGTATACAAAGGCCATCTTGACCCACCCATGAGCTGCTTCTCAATTCCAAAAGCAGAGATGAAGAGAACAGACTCATCATCTTGTTGGTCATGTGGAAAATTATCGTAACATCGAAATCGGTTTCAAATCTGTTGTTTGTATTGTGCAATGAATATTTGTTAATCTTTTGCAAGCACACATACATACAAACACATATGTAAACCTTTGATGTCAAAAGTTAAGTGACATATTGACATTTTAGTAGTAAGAAATTTTTGGGATGGTTGGATGGATGGATGGATGGATAGATGGATAGATGGATAGATGGATAGATGGATAGATGGATAGATAGATAGATAGATAGATAGATAGATAGATAGATAGATAGATAGATAGATAGATAGATAGATAGATAGATAGACAGACAGATAGATAAAATTAAGTCTGTGACACCAAACCAGACATAGTCAAAGGATGCAAAAAAATGTAAGGGCTCCTCACCTTCAATTTGTTTCAAATTTTTTTGTTAAAAAAATCATGACTAAATCCTGAGTCATGAGATTAGTATCGTGAATCAAATCGCGAGTCGTGAATCGCTACATCCCTAGTTGTGCTGCTAGGGATGGGTACCAAACTGTACTTTGTCTGTATTAATGCTACATTGTAAAAGATCGAAGTATCGATAAGCTCTGTCGTTAATGGTTCTGCTATCGGTACTGGAGAATTACTGCTGAATAAACATTATTTACTGTAGCATAATTTTTTTGGCGATATTTGATATTCGTCTGCACAGTTGCCAATCTAATGAGAACAACTCGTGTTTCTGCCGAACGCATCAAGTATAAAAGCCTTCACAGTTCTCGACTGTGCGTGCACTAAGCAGAGGCTTGCGCTAAGCGCACACACATAGCTCGTGACACACACACAGCTTGTAAGCTTGCAGAGTGAACCAAACGTGCTGTATTTCCCGAATGGACAGCGACAATGCCTGTTGTAACAAAAGCAACAAGTTGTTTTCTTGAATAAGCGGAAACGCAAGCAATCTGGCTAAGTGAAAATATCTTTCAAAAGTGCATTAACTGCAATGAAAATTAATGAAAAGTTTTAGACTGCTTAGCTACTAACGCTAACGTTATATCATCCACATCGTTATGCTAGCAGTCGATCACCTAAAATAGTACAAGTTAAATAAACACACATTCGGTTACAATGAAAGCAGTATTTTTTTCTGCAGTAGCCTAAATTAATATTAAACATTAAAAATGCTTTTACATCAGCTGTATTTCAAATATAGCCTATGAATAGCCTAATAATAAACAATGCTTAATAAGAACACAGTTAACTCATTTATGTGAATGTGTTAATGAAATATCATAAACATTATCTACTTTAACTGCATTTTGCAACTCAAAGAGGGTATTTTCAACTGTAGGCAGCGCAATAAACCAAGAAAGATCCCGACTTCTGCTAGAAAAGTCAAACATGTTGATTTTTCTCCAAAAGAATAGTTAAAAACTGAGTAATTTTCCTTCAAACATTTGTACATTCTGTTACAGGAAAAAAATATATTTGTTTTGCAATTATTGGTTTCGTTTTATTGAACATTAAAAACAAAATAATAAAATAAAGTGTTGTTAATTCTGTTCAATTTGTTTTTTTTCAAAAAAAAAAAAAAAAACTACAAAAACTACCGATAAGAGAACTGTTAAACTACCAAACTGATAAGTGGTATCAATAAAAGTAGTAATACTGTTAAAACCTTAATGATACCCATCCCTACATGCCTCATGCATGTCACTTCCAATATGCGCGCAAGAAAAGAACTAACGAACTTGCATCCGCAAAAGACACAGTATGTGAACGTAACCTTGGTTAATAGCCTCAGCCATCGTTAACGCAGTGTGTGTGGGTATTAACCTCGGTGTACAAGCTTGGAACTTTAAAGTAGCGCACAGTTGCCATAACTTTGTTTAGTTACAGCAGTTTGGTTCTGTGCAGAAAGGCAGTGTTGATAAGCCTTTACGATTAATTAGCGATGACAAATTAAAGCACGATTAATGGTGAAATCAGTTATTTGTTGCATCCCTACCATCCCACTTTTTTTTTTTATTTAAATCGCATGATTTGTTTAAACAACATCACCTGGAATTTATTCGGTAATTGGGTTTCCATTGTACTTTATGCACATTTTTCCTTTTTGGGTAAATAGTTTATTCTACTTAAGTGCACGCAAACATCTTTTTATTTGCATTTTCAAAGTTTATCCGCATCTTGGCATTTCCATTAAGAATTTTATATGCGATACTCCAAAATGCAAAGAGTAAAATGGTTGAATGGAAACAGCTACTGAAGAATATATACTGAGAACTGGCCATGGTCTCTCACCTGTTCCCCCTTGGCTTTTGGTACGACACGTTTGTCCTCCATGTCACACTTGTTGCCTAGCAGCATCCTCTCCACATCCTCATTAGCGTGCTGAAACAAATATTAACACGGTTGACACAATGCATTTTCACACAGTGCTTATAAAACCCTTTCAAACGGTGACGTTCAGAATGACAAACCAAATTAAAGCGCTACAGAAGAACAGTTTGGTGATAACGAAACACGCAACCACATTCCTCAGAGAGTCTCATGTTATATGAATTCTGTTGAAATTGCTGACTGTTGAGAAATTCTGCATGATTCACTAGACTGAAATGCAACAGTCAGCAGTTTCACTACACAGCAACATATCTTGTGTTGTTATGGGAGTGGAACTTCAAAAGTCCTGCACCAGCGGTTCTTCACTGGAAAATGGGTCGCAGGTCTGTACTATTTATAATAGTGAAACTAACCATGTGATCCTGCATTGTAGTTAGGCAAGCAGAGTATTAACACTTCCTGTATAATTTTTGCTGATGACAACAGTCGGGTGTCCAAACAAACTGTCGCTTCTCAAAAACATTCATTCATTTTCTTTTCGGCTTAGTTCCTTTATTAATCTAAAGCCGCCACAGCGGAATGAACCGCCAACTTATCCAGCATAAGTTTTAAGCAGCGGATGCCCTTTCGGCTGCAACTCATCTCTGGTAAAATCTCAAAAAAAATGAAGAAAAATATTTGCTTTCAATATGGTTTGGTTTGCGGGTGGCAAGGTGGCTCAGTGGTTAGCACTGTCACATCAGCAAGAAGGTTGCTGGTTCGAATCTCGGCTGGGTCAGTTGGCATTTCTGTGTGGAGTTTAGAAGCCCTCCCTGTGTTGGCGTGGGTTTCCTCTGGGTGCTCCAGTTCCCCCCACAGTCCTAACACATAGGTGAACTGAAAAATTATATTGGCCGTAGTATATGTGTGTGAATGAGTGTGCATGGGTGTTTCCCAGTACTGGCTTGTGACTGGAAGAGCATACACCACGTAAAACATAAGCTGAAATAGTTGGTGGTTCATTCTGCTGTGGTGACCCTGAAAAATAAGAGACTAAGCTGAAGAAAAATGAATGAATCAATGTTTTGGTTTGACCACAACACACAATCAAATACAGTTCGAAAATGTTTCTATTATGTCGATATTAATTTTATTTATTTTTAAAAATTTTAAATACTGTGTATACAACTATAGAAACATTGAGACCTCTAAAAATTGAATTTAGAGTCTTTTCCTAAAATATAAACTATCACAAAAGGTACAATGTTTACAGAAATGTTTTCATTTGTAGACTGTTTTTAAGGTAAAAGAAAAAAAAAATTAAATAAAATAACCCTGATTTTTTCACTACAAAACATTTTTATTCCAATCAATTGCTTTATTTT